AGAGAGAGAGACAGAGAGAGAGAGAAAGAGAGAGGGGAAAGAGGAAGGGGAAGAGGGAGGGAAGGAGAGGGAGGAGAGAGGGAGGGAGAGAGAAGGAGGGTTGGAGATAGAGAGACAGAGATAGTAAAATCATTGAGAGGTGGTGAGAAGAGAGATAGAATAAAGGGAAGGGATGGCGGTATAGTGAAGACTAGTGACAGCTTTGCTGAACAGCTTGGTCCACAGTTTGAGAATATCGCTGACTGAACCATAATTTGACTTTGAAACTACAAAAAATACACATTGCACATATCTGCCCTCAGTATATCCGACGCTACATGCATGCTGTCAAGGCTGACAACCCCCCACACATCTATGCAGTGGCTGACCAGGCTTATCAGATGATGATGCACAACAAGAAACATCAGGTCAGTTGTCCAGCCAACACACACACATATACATACATGTATACATACTCTACCACAAGAAACGTATACATGTACACATACTCTTACCACTGTGGGTGGTTGGAGGTGCTCTTGTGTGAATTGCTCCTTTTTTCCTATCAAACATCTATTATCCTTTTGTCGCATCCTCTTTTATTTGTTTGGTACTCACTTGTAACACCTCTTATCTTGAGCACTTATATATGAGGCATTGTGGTGAAATCAGGTGCTCGTCAAAATAATAAAATCAAAGAAAATTGTATTTTTCTGTCTCTTTTGGAATTTTTACTGAATTATTGTTTTTTGGCTTAGCACGTTTTATATCCATACACATCCTTGTGTTGATTTCACTGGAGAACGTTGATTAGAGGCACAAAAAATGTCTATTTGAAATTTCCAAAGACTTTCAAACTTTGGAAACCACTAAGCTTTGGCTTGTCATTTTCTCACAAATTTTACCTCTGGAACAAGTGACCCTCACTTCTTTCAATCACAAATATTTTAACTTCTGTTTAAGATAGATGGCTTAAAAAAAAAAAGAAAGCAAGACAAAAAACAGGCTTTAAGATTATACCAATAATTGCATATGCCCAAAGATTGAGGCGAGCCTGATTCCACCTCGTCATGACACATGACTTTATTGTGCTGCAAGTTCTGTAAAAGTTTTACTAAACTGAAAAAAAAAAGAAAAAATAGCACTCTGCCACTTACATATGCACACATGCTCTTAAACATGGGAAACTCTTACTTGTGCTTATTCTCACTCACATATTTATCTAAGCCTAGTAGGAAACACAAGGACCCCCTGCTACATTCGTATGATATACTCACATTCTTGCTCACAGATTTACACAAGCATACTCAGTCATGGTTGTTTCCAAGCAAATTCTTACTTGAACACTGAACTCTATAAAAGGCATGCACACAGAAAGATCTGCTGTGTACCAAGAGTTTGTGTTTTAGTTTTGAACCGTTGGCAGCTATCATTGTGTTGTATTCTGTATGGTCATACCTCTACCCATGGTGTTCTCTGTGTGTGTATCCCCAGTGTATTGTCATCAGTGGGGAGTCTGGTGCGGGGAAAACCGAGTCGGCCAACCTTCTTGTGCAGCAGCTTACACAGCTTGGCAAGGTCAGTAGGAACTTGTGTGATTTTTTATATTTTTAATATTTTTTTTTTTTGGGGGGGGGGGGGGGGGGGGGGCATGCAGAATGTCTTTGTCTCTTTTACTTTTTTTTACATTCTCTTCCTATTTTCTATGTTGCTTCTCTGTCCCACTCCTTCTCTTTTTTTTCGCTCCTTCTTCTTTTCCTCTTTGTCCCTCCTATTCTTCCCCAGTGTATCTCTCTTACTTTTCTGTTCTCCTCCTCATCCTTTTCTGTTTCTAGTGTCACTCTTACTTTTCTCTCCTCTTTCTCCTCTTCTATTTTCCTCTTTATCTGTTCCAAGTGTGTCTCTCTTACTTTTCTGTCTTCTCCTCTTTCTTTTCCTTTCTGTTTCTGAAGAAGAGTAATCATCGTCATGCTAACTCATAGTAAACGACAACTCAACATCTCATGATGTGCAGTATACCGGAGTATGTTTTTTTTTTCTTTCCTCTTACAGGCACCCAACAGAACTCTGGAAGAGAAAATCTTGCAAGTGAATCCCTTAATGGAAGCATTTGGCAATGCGAAGACCGTTATCAATGACAACTCGAGTCGGTTTGGGAAATACTTAGAGATGTTCTTCACTGCCTCTTCAGGCACAGTCATTGGAGGTTTGTGCATTCTCTGAATTTTTTTGTTTTCTCTTTGTGTTTCCTTCTAGTGTTTGTGGCCTTTATTATCTCTTCAGCACATTGAGAGGGCTTTTACTGCTTGACCCGATCTGTTTCTGGAGTGTTGTGTGTTTTCTACTGAACATGTTATGAAACTTTGTACCATGAACTATGCGTGTTCTAGGGATTTGCAAATATTCACAGAAATAGGGCTATGTGTAGCAAAAATTGCATGCTACAGATAAAATGTGAGGCATCGTGGTGAAATCAGGCGTTCATCAAAATAATGGAATCCGAGAAATCTGCTTTTTTCGGCCAGTTTGGACATTTTTTTTCGAGTTTTTGTTTTTTGGCTCAACATCTTGTACGTCCTTTCACAAACACTTTTATGTGTGGAAAAAACGATTAATGGCACAACAAATGTAAATTTGCAGATGCCAAGGATTTTTATGCTATGGAAGTCACCAAACTTTGGCGGCCATTTTCTCGCTAATTTTACTTTTGATACTGGTGACCGCCACCTCCTTTGATCGCTAATATCTCGGCTTCTATTCAAGATAAATAGATATTTTTTGCATCAAAAGCAAGTCAAACGAATAACCTTTAAGATGGTACCAATAACTCCATATGGCCAAAAATTGATGAGCACCTGATTCCACTGCAGCGTGCCGCAAATGCAGGATACCTGCTATTGTTGGGAGAGTGGTTTTATATATATAATATTTTAATGATAATATCTATCTAGGGCTATGTTATCTTCATGTATAGTGTTTTGATGATAGTTCCAAAGACTTTATCATCTACATGTATAATGTTTTGATGATAATTCCTATCTAGGACTGTGTTATCTGAATGTGTGATCCAATAAGAGTTTGTGGTCTAAAGATGAGTTTTTTGGACTGTAGGGGTCATAAAAGTATCACTAATTGAAACGTTAGGGTAGGTTTGACTAAGCCAGTTTTATTTGTACAAAACAGATTGTTTGTAACAACTTTCTATTGTAAAAATAAAATGCTGCTTATGGTTGGGTTAATCTTCTTTTGGGACCATACAAATTCATAATCCCTATAATTGGATTAAGGTCAGGTGCAGATTTCGAGAATAATAATTTAATGCTGTCAATTTGTTTATTAGTCTGTCATAACGCTTATTTGCGTTTCAGTCTTGATTTGTGAGTTTATTTACTTTCTTTATGTTTTCCAGCCAAAATCACTGAATACTTGTTGGAAAAGTCACGAGTGATCAACCAAGCTCCGTAAGTAGTTTCTAAGTTCTGCTTCAGGTTTCATTTGTTTGTTTGTAACTTGCAACAATTTGCCAAAAAGTTATTTCAACTATACTGCTGTTGAAAAACTGGACCCATGTTGAGAAATTTAAAATTTGAGGTGTTTTAAATGGACTGACATCGTTAATCTTTTTTGTCTGTTCAGAGTTGAGGTTGCTGACATGAAAGTACGGAGAGGAAAGTAAAGGAAATGATAACTAATTTGTAATGATCACAAACACTGCAACTCACTGGATATAGCAGCATTTTTTCCTGTCTTGAAGCATTGTGCTTATCGGCCTAAACATAATATGGTGAATTGGTCTGATTTTATATCACTTTGCATCTGACCTTCAAGCACTATACGTTTTAAAGAATTAACTATTTATAACCCGAGTCCTGCAGCGCTTTAGCATAGTGAGTATTACGTTCACTCTGATGCCATTACAATTCCTTTCATTAACCTTGTGCCACTTTGTGTCTGTAGAGGCGAGCAGAACTTCCACATCTTCTACTACGTCCACGATGGTCTCATGTCCAGCGACCGACAGGAGGAATACCATCTCAAGCCACGCACCTTGTACAAGTGAGAACTGTTGTGTCAGCATTTTGTCTGCTGTTGTCTGTGTCTATGTTCGTTGCGGTTCCATTCCCACTGTAGCATGAAGCGTGGGCGTACCTGAAGCTGGTAGAATGAGTGGCTGCATGGCTCTAGAGGGGCAGTGCTCATCACCTCTGATCACGGTCTTGAAAGAATGACTCCCGAGTTTATGGGCAGGGAAGTGTTAGTGTTTGTGATCATCAATCCTACCGTGGGTGTGGGCAAGAAAGGATATAAAAGCTCTTTGAGTGTGTTTATGTTGTAAGTGAGGAATAAATTACAGTTTTTGAACACTGTTTTTGAGTTATTTCACTTTTTAAAAATACCCATTCTAGCACATTACATGAACAAGCTAAATCACTGTTGCCTAAACTAAAAAGGTTGTTATTGGTATGTGTCTCAATATATGGAATTTTTTTTGCATGTTTGTTAGTTCTCCTGTTGGAAATTGAGCTCTAATAATATTGCAGATCTTTACAATAATTTAAATCGTGGAGATATATGTTCTGTCTAGATCAGGCAATCAGTAACTTTTAATAGTTCTCAGGAAAGGAGATTTAAAGAAGAAATACAATTTTAAAATTAAAAAATAACTGAAAGATCATTTGCCCACCTTTCTCCATCAGTTTAAAATTCCATTCCTCAATTGCCGAAACACAACATCTGAGTACAGATTGTCTTGGACAGGTGGTTATTAGAACAGGTTTGAGTGTATATATTAACCCAATCCCACTCAACAGTGTAACGGAATTTGTGTTTCTTCTGTTGTTTTCCACAGGTACATAGCCGAGTACACAGAGAAGGCCACAGATGTGTCGGCTGTCTCCATCAACAGGGTCAAATTCAGGGCCATAGAACACTGCTTCGACATCATCGGATTCAGGCATGAGGTAAGGCACCCCTCCATGGTTCTGGACTAGCCATAGGTCAGAAATATTGTGCATACCTAGTAATTGTATCAGGGCCTTTTTCTAAGCAAATGCGTTCTCGGAATTCCAAATCATTGTAATAAAAACCCTCAAATGAGAGCTTAACAAGTAAAATGTCCCTTATTCTTTCCAAATTAATGTTAGAAGGCTTTCGTTATGGACCATTCCATGAAACATGACACTGCACTGACACGCACAATGCATGGATGATGGATAATTCCATTATAAACGACACTGCACTGTCATGCATAATGATCTGTGGACAAAATTCTAAACAGTGTCATGATTTTTTCTTTTTTGCTTGTTGTTTGTAGGTGGAGGGTTTCCGTTAACAAAAAAGAAAACAACTGTCAAACACAAATTCAAGCAAACACATACACAAAAAAATACAAAAAACCCCAAAGAACAAGAACTGCTCAAATGGTTCTACTGCTGCTTAGAATTTGTTTTTCAGCAGGTCATCATCTGCACATTATGAGTATCGCAACAGTTTCATAACTTCCTTACGAGTGTCACGAGAGCTTCATAGTTCCATTACGAGTGTCGCGACTGTTTCATTGTTTCATTATGAGTGTCACAACAGTTTTATTTTTTCATTTTCCTTGTCACGGCCCCCATGCTCTGTGGGTGGTTGGCGGGTGCTCTGGTGTAATTTGCTTCTTTCCTATCAAACATCTATCGTCCTTATCTCCCCTTCTTCTTTTTATATGTTTTACTCTCTTGTAACACCTCTAATCTTCTGGCTCTCATATGACCTTGACCTTATGCAGTTGCGAGCGCAGTAAAACCTCTACTAAAACTAAACGTCATGCTCTCACTTATGACTGTCTGTTCCTGCAGGATGTGACCTCCGTGTACGCTATCTTGGCTGCCATCCTGCACACGGGCAACATTGAGTTTGTACCCAAAGACTCTGGCTATGGTGGAGAGGCTAGTGCAGTCTCCAACACAGATCTCATCACTACAGGTCACCATCTGGACTTTTGTTTATTTATTTATTTATTTATTTATTTATTTATTTATTTATTTATTTATTTATTCATTTATTTATTCATTTTTTCATGCATTTATTTATTTAGCTATTATGTATTCGTGTATTTATTTTTTAATTGATCAATTTTTTTGTTTGTTTTTGTAACAGTTTCACTTTTATTACCTAAGTGTGGTACAAATGCTGAAAAATTCTTGCATAAACTAAGGCACTTGTAACACAAATAGATCATGTGAGTGTTGGAAAGATTAGAAATGTTTCTAGAGATTCATGTACAAAGAAAAGAAGGAGCTGAAATAAAGACGATAGATGGTTGATAGGAAAGTAGGAGCAAACCTCACCAGAGCACCTGCCGACCACCCACATATGGAGATTATTCCAGTATGTGTGAAATTATTTGCCTGTAGCTTAATAATAACAAATAACATTTGTACTGTGCATATGCCTCCTTACCAGCAAGCTCTGTGTGCTTTACAATCTATATTATTACCCCAGCGGACCCAAGAACACTCAGCAATAGCCATGCTTCTCTTCTCTTGTCTTAGCAGCTCAGTCTTCCTGGCTGAAAAGATAAATATGGATATAAAAACAAGCTATTATGTCTCAACACAGTGGAATCAGGCACTTGCCATGCCAAATTTTTGGCATATTGAGTTATTGGTACCATCTTTAAGTTGTTCGTTTGCCTTGCTTTCAATGAAAAAAATATCCATTTGTCTTGAATAGAAGTTAAGATATTTGCGGTTGAAGGAGGTGGGTTGCTGGTTTCAGAAGTAAAATTATTGAGAAATACAAGGTGCTGAACCAAAAAACTAAAATTCAGAAAAATGACCCTAATGGCCAAAAAGTGCGGATTTCTTTAATTTCATTATTTTGACAAGCGCCTGATTTCACCAAGATGCCTCACAATTTTTCTCTCCCTGTGTCAGTTGTGCTGCTTGTGCTGCTTTCTTAAACTAAAACTCAACGTTTTTGTGACTGTTGAACTCACCAAAAAAGCTGTTCTTCTCCAGTCTCCCAGCTCCTGGGCCTCGACTTCACGGACCTCCTGGAGTGTCTGACCACCACAGGCATGGTGGCCAAAGGGGAGGTCATCGTGAGGGACAACTCCATCCGTGAAGCCTGCGACTCGCGTGATGCCATGGCCAAGGCTCTGTACGGCCGCCTCTTCAGCTGGATTGTGAATCGCATCAGCTCGCTACTGAAACCTGGCCGCTCACAAATCAGCGAGTATGATACCTGCCCCTGTTGCTGTTGTTCAGTTGTTAAAATATTTTATGTTTGTATTTTATGTGGGGTTTTTTAATGTATTTTTGAAAACTGTTGAATTGAGTGGATTGCATCTTTGTTCTAAAGGGATAGTTTCTAAGATTTGCAGCTAAAGTAAATCACTTGGTGTTCAAATCTTTGAAATAATAGTTATCAAGTGGTATCTTCTTTTTTTCTTTGTATGTTAATATGCATGTTTTTTGCATGTGCTGTAAAACTGTTACTAAAACTAACACATTAAAAGTAAGAAAAACAATGCCTGCATGTGCTTGATTGTGAATTGACAATTCCTAGATATAGTACAGAGGAGAACTGGGTAACTTTATTTAGGCCTATATATTGGAATCTGTGGTCTTAGTTTGATGTATGCAGAACATCATATGTGAGAAATCAAGTTCTAAAGGAGGGACAGAAAGGCAGAGGTTAAGCAAGAGGATGAATAATGGAGTGGGTTTTTTTGTTTTTGTAAAGTGTCTTACGGCACTCGCAACTGCATAGGTCATATGAGCGCGCGGGACACTCCTAATATTTTCAGTTGGTAGGAAATTTAGAATTTTGCCCGGGTGGCGGCCGAAGCCTACTCTTATCGATTTTAGACCACCAAGGGATCTTTAACGTGCGCAACTTACACACGGGACCTCCGAGATTTTTCGCCCTTGTCCGAGAAGGCTAGGTGTAGATCTTTCCTACCAGAAGATCAGGGGTGTGGCAGAAAGACAGCAGTAAGGAGGAGCTAAGGAGTAGCAGTAGAAAGGCTGCAGAAAGAGTCAGGAGCCCAGAGGAGGGGGCAAAGGAGGTGAGGGGGTGGGGGCAGAAAGTGGAAATGAAAGCAGACAACAGAACATTGCTAGAGAGCAGGAAAGGAGGTGAAAGGAGACAATTTTAGAGAAGAAAATTTTTCTGTCGCTACCCGGATTCGAACCCGGGACCTTTGAATGAGAGGCCAACACCTTAACCTCTAGGCCATGAGAGCCCCCCATGGAGTGTTTGAGCAAAATGGATACATTCATGGAGCTGAAGAGTGGATGAGTTTTGTGAAGGCATTAACGTTTGAATTGTTTCTCTCTCCCTCTCCTGCCTCCTTGCCCAAAATCTTGTTCACTTTCATCTATGTTCTCTCCTGGACAGCGATGAATGTTACGTGAGTGGCCTGCTGGACATTTTTGGTTTTGAAAATTTCAAGACCAACTCCTTCGAGCAGCTGTGTATCAACATTGCCAACGAGCAGATACAGTACTACTTTAATCAACACATCTTTGCCTGGGAGCTGGTGAGTATGCGCATATTTGTCTAAAAATTGTATGCTCTAAATATACTAACCTATGGTAAAGAAATTAGTAAGGTCAATTTTTTAGTGTGGTTTTTTTCGGCTGAAAGATGTTCACATATCTAGTTCCCAGTTTCTTGGTGTTTTATTTTTATTCACTTTTTATCTATTTCTTTTACTAGTTCTTGATAATCTGAAGTGACCGAAATATGTTAATGAAAACTTTTTGAGAGCCCAATAGGTTTAACTTCCTGTGTCCCCCTGGGAAACTGATAAGAGAGGTGGAAAAATTGTAAAATATAGTGGTATTTATAGAGTGTCATCGTGACATTTTGTGTCGTTGATCAAGCAGGAAAAATAAAGAATTACAACTACCATGTCAAACTAAAACTTTACTATTGGGTATTCATTACCAACCTGTTTTAAAAAAAAAAAGAAAACTCTAACAGTACACGTATTCAAATCCTCATTGTTTTGTTTTTTTAGAACTCTTCTGCGTTTATATAATCCTCTTGATTCGAGCCTATATCCGACTGTTTTGCCTTTAACATTTCCAATTTTTTCTCCAGGAGGAATACAAGAATGAGGGGATCGATGCTGCCGAGGTGAACTATGTGGACAATCGCCCTATTCTGGACATGTTTCTGAGCAAACCTGTGGGGCTGCTGGCTCTTCTGGATGAGGAGAGCCATTTCCCTCAGTCAACTGACCTCACCCTTGTTGGTACGATGTGTGTCTGTTTGTGAAGG